ATTACAGTGGTAATGAGCTGTTTATGTAGACATGAATTGAGTCACAAGAATATTACAGTGTGGCTTATATGTATACCTGGAGAAGACTTCGAGGGTCAACGCCCCTGCGGCTTGGTCTGAGACCAGGCCTCGTGGTGGATTAGGGTCTGATCAACCAGGCTGTTACTGCTGGCCTCACGCATAGTGACGTACGAACCACAGCCCGGCTGGTCAGGTACTGACTTAAGGGGCCTGTCCAGTGCCTTCTTGAAGACAGCCAGGGGTCTATTGGTAATCCCCCCTTATGTATGCTGGGAGGCAGTTGAACAGTCCTGGGCCCCTGACACTTACTGTATTGTCTCTCAGTGTACTCTGTTTACTCATTGGGAGAATGTTGCATCTCCTGCCGAGCATTTTGCTATCATAGGGAGTGATTTTCGTGTGCAAGTTTGGTATAAATCCCTCTAGGATTTTTGAAGTGTATATTATCATGTATCTCTCTCGCCTGCATTCCAGGGAATACAAATCAAGGGACTTCAACCGTTCCCAGTAATTTAGGTGCCTTATCGTACTTATTTGTGCCGTGAAAGTTCTTTGTACACTCTCCAGGTCAGCAATTTCGCCTACCTTGAAGGGGGCAGTTACTGTATAGCAGTATTCCAGAGAACAAACAATATGTAGAGAATCATCATGGGCTTGGCGTCCCTAGTTTTGAAGGTTCTCATTATCCATCCTATCATTTTCCTAGCAGATGCGATAGATACATTGTTCTGGTCTTTGAAAACGAGATCCTCTGACATTATCACTGCCAGGTGTTTCACATTACTTTTTCGTTTTATTGTATGGTTAGAATTTGTCGTATACCCTGATACAGTTTTAATTTTGTCAAGTTTTCCATATCTGAGTAGTTGAAATTTCTCTTCACTGAACTTCATATTGTTTTGAGTGGTCCATTGGAAGATTTGGTTTATGTCCGCTTGGAGTCTTGCGGTGTCTTCGATGGAGGTCACTGTCATAGTAATTTGGGTGTCATCCGCAAAGGAAGACACGGAGCCATGGCTTACATCTCTGTCTATGTCACATATGAGGATGAGGAATAGAATGGGAGCGAGTACTATACCTTGCGGAACAGAGCTTTTCACTGTAGCTGCCTCGGACTTTATTGACTATTAATCTTTGTGATCTATTTGTCAGGAAGTTATAGATCCATCTACTATGTGGTTTTAAAATATTTATAATACCTTATGTTTTAACAAGGTATTCTTGAATTTACACAAATTTAAGTGGTTATGAGTCATCTACAATAGTCAAAATCGTGGTATTGTTTCCAGAATATTTGGTAATATGCCACGGTGGCTAAAATATTTTAACATTTCTTGAGCATCTGTGAGTGGGTTGTCTCTGATTTCATTAATTTTACCTCATTCCAGCACATAATGGCGCAGGATGTGACAATAGTCCATCTGGCAAAGTTTACATTTAGTTGTCTTCAACATCTGGTGGTAGTGATTTAGGTTTGGTTACGTTACGTTACGTTAGATTAGGTTAGGTAAGATTTGTCAGGAAACAGGACAAGTGTTTCATAAGCGGGTCTTATTCATATGATGACTTGCATCTGGAACTTTTGGTCATCTGACCGAGGCCTTCCACTGGCTTACCCATCCACCCGTTTAAAAATTATGGTTATAATTTTAACCATTAGTTTATATTTTTATTATTTAGGTGGTGATTTAATCTCCCAAAGATACTTATAACCCAGCCGAAGCTGGATGCACCATAGACATACGGCTCCTCCTGCATGATATGGATGATATAGGCTGCCCCCACCATAGGGCTGTAAACTGTACATCACTAGTACAAACTCTGACACTCCTTCGGGAGTGTCAGAGTGATTCTTTCACAAATGTTTATGTTCATGGTTCTTTTCACCAATCCACTGGTGCAGCTGGTAGTGCTGCTGTTGTCATACAGACTGATGGCTCTCATAAAGAAATTGGAGCACGCATCAATAACTTGGCCTCTACCCTTCAAACAGAACTATTTGCCATACTCATTGCATTCAAATGCGTCCATGTATCTAAGGTTGACACTTTAATTGTAACTGATTCCCTATCATCTATAAATGTTTTCAACTCATTAAGTATAAATTGTGTCAGAAGCCAGACACAGGTATGGCAGGATTGTGGACAGTAGAGTCAGAGTGAACCTTCTATGGATTCCATCTCACATTGGTCTTCAGATGGATGATAGAATTGATGAATTGGCTAAGTTATACTCCTTCAAAGAGAGAGTATTGTGGAAAATACTGTATATATTTTCCAGAAATACGGTAGCTATATGTAAATAGATGGCCATACTGTATTTAATAAAAATTATGTTATAAAAAAAATGGGAAACTGCGCCTGGGCAGAAGACTCGCCATTGTTGTTTGAATTGAGTAATAAACATTAGTGAATATTGGGAAGAATTTTCGTGCTCTAGAGGTAAAATTGGGCTGACACCTCTCAAATAGGAGCCGAAATTGTTGGATGTGCATTCCTGCATAACTTGAGCTATCAGGCGACTGGACAAGACAGCTTCAGGAACCTCAGATAAGTCTGTTAATGTTTAACTCTGGCCAGTTTTTTTTTTTCATGTATAGACAGTGAGGTTTTCTGAGTATGATACACCTTAATCTCCAGTCAAATTGGTGAGTGATATTAAGATATATTCTCCTTCTGTTATGTAAATGTGTGTATATATATAATCATTTATTAATTTAATATACAGTCCACAAATTTTTATATTTACCAGAATTCCTGGTGATACATATTTCATTTGTAATTAATAGGTCTAGAGCAACTTGTGGATATGACAGTTGTAGGTATCGAAGGGGGACATTTTTTGCGACCTAGGTGTCCCAAATTCCTACTTGTCTATGTAACTGATAAATAATAATTATCTTTGTTATCATTTACTGTTATGCACATAATGAGTTACATTCAGATAAATGCAATTTTCCACAAGTATATTACAATCTTGGCCTGTCAGTCAGCAGTTTGAGAACAATTACACGAAAAGAATTTTAACTGAACTTGATTGACTTAAGACTGAGGGAGATTGACACCAGTGAGTCCATCTATCATCATTCTATATGCAAGAGGAGCCACATGTCTATGGTGCTTCCAACAAAATAAGCAAACTCTTGGATGCCACTACTGCCCTGCTCCAGCTGGGTCACAAGTATCTTTGGCAGGTTAAATTATTATTATTAAAGATTCACCGGTATTCTCCCGGCCCGGGCCTTTTCCAAGTGGTGGCCCGGCCTTGGCTCCCTCTTTAGGAAGTGTCTGAGACCTAAGTCTCCCATGGGAGGAGGTACAAGTACCCCGTCATCTTTGGGACCAACTGTCCCCAGGCCTAGCCACAAGCTAGGCCTCTCTGGTCTGCCATCCCCGCCCCAAGGGAGCAAATGGGAATGACAGTCTTATGAGCTAAAGGCTCGGGCTCAGGCACCTACCCTACCCTAGAAGGGTTAGGCATGGTGTCGATGCAGGTTAAATCACCACCACCAGATGTAGACCAAACGACATGTAAACTTTGTCACACATTGCGTCATTATATACTGGAGTGCGATACAGTTAATGAATTCAAAGACTTACTCAATCAGAAATGTTCAAGATATATCATAGCATTTTATCCACAGAAGTATATTACAACCCTTAATAACCCAACAAAAAGCTGCTGTGCGGGTGACAACCAGCTCCTGTGCTAGACAGCACACCCCACCACTTTTCAAAAGACTCAACTTGCTTAATATACAAAACATACACTCTTATTATTGTGCCTACTACATATACAGAACTTTAAACTCCACTGTAAACCCTCCCTTTAAACTACTCCTCGACAGTTACAAAAGAATGCACAGTCACAATACAAGGTATAAGGCCCTTTTCAACATCCCTCGAGTAAAACTCTCACCATGCAAGAACGCTATGCACATAAAAGGCCAAAAGATCTGGAACTCGCTACCGGAACAACTCAAGGATTCCCAGACAACTTATAAATTTAGGACTCTGCTAAAAAATCATCTTATCTCACAATATTAACCAAATCAACCAAACATCTACTGGCTAGTTTTATCATGTGACCTCCTGGCTTTTAATTCTACCATTCCATAAAATATTACCACCTGTACCATTCCTCGTAAATTAGATTTTGTATTAAGTATACACAAGATTTATGAAGTCCAAATAAGATTGTAAAACAGCTAACCACTATTCTATGTTTAGTTTTAAGTAATAATTACTATGTACTATTATCTTATCTAGTTTTAATGAGTTACTATGTATTAGGGTTAGTTTGCCCGAAATGTCTCGGCATGATAGTGGCTATTACCTTTGTACTTAGCAAATCAAAATTGTAATTACACATTGTAACCTTTAACAAAGAAATAAACTTATTATTATTATTATTATTATTATTATTATTATTATTATTATTATTATTATTATTATTATTATTTATTCTGGTAAAATATCATGACTTTTCTAATATTTGCATTAATAACTCATTGCAATTGTAGGTGTAGATATGTGAATGGTTCATTACCTTTGTAACTTGTTCATCTATCAAAACTTTGTGACCCAGTCCCTGGACCCATTATGTACCTCTAATATTTTTGACTGGGGTCTGGGGTGCATAATAAAGATATTAAACTCACTTTTTTGGGAGCCACTGCCGGGTCACCAGACTCACCACATGGAGCTGACCAGGGCCAGGACCCGTCCTGGCAAAGCTACCTGAACCTAAGGGATGATGGGTGGACTGACTGGGGTCAATGTCCCTCAGTCTTAAGTGATTGAAGTGTAAGTGACCCCTCAAGGGAGGTTCCTTGATGCTGGTGAGGGGCTCTTGATCTAGGGAATTGGATCTGTGCTCCAGTTCCCTGAATTGAGCCTGAATACCTTCCATCCCACCCCCCCCACATGAGCTGTATAACCATACGGGTTTAGCGCTTCCCTGTGATTATAATAATAATAAGTGTAAGTGATTCAAGATAGTACCACAAGGGTTCACTGGGCTCCTCACAACCTTTAAACCCAACAAAAAGAAGACTGAGCCAGGAGGAACAGGGCGCCGCCTTCAACACGAACTATCCTGTAGTATTTCAATTCATTCTTTTGTTGTAGGATATTCAGGTAATAAAAAATGATTTCTTTATCACAGTATATTCAGAAATTAGCGTATTAATTGTGTATAAGTGTAGTGCATTTTACTATGTCATGAATTTCGTAATGCCAAGAGATAATTGATAGGCTATGAAGCCCTGTGATTTAAAATTTAATTATGTTGCATGAGTATTATATTAGTATAATTAGTTCTAGTTTTAATCTGTCCAAAATTCTTTGTATAACCATTGGAAATGAATAAAAGAAACTTATTGCAAAAATTATGCATTTAAAAAATTGTTCGGAATGGGTTACTAGGTCTATGTATTATTATTATAACCTAAAAGAAGCGCTAAACCACAAGGGCCATACAGCGCTGCACTAGGTCTATGTAAAGGCCATTAGAATTGTAAATCAATTTTGTGATAGGTAAAAAAGTTGCGTAATCAATGAAACTGCAGAAAGGGAGAGAATGAATTTTTGTACTGTTAACATAATATTGTAGGACACTCTTGGTATGGTATACTGTATGTATTTTGTATGTATTATTGCATATTGAATACAGGTGATGTCACCAATGTTAACAAGTTACCAATGGATCATGAGAAATCGTTGATATTTTCCCACAAGCAGAGAGCTCCTAGGTAATTTACACTATGTATGATAATTGTACTTATGTGTACTTGTCCCTAAATAAACTTACTTTAATATCAGGTATCCAAGTCACCAGGTCACCGATGTCAGTAAGTTAACCAAGTGGTAGATTTAGTGACTTATTATAGTGTAACCATGAGTTATCCAACAGCATTATTTAGGTTTATTGTAGGTCAGGTTAAACCAATAAGTACTTACAGGTTAAACCAAGCTAGGTTAGGTGGCTTGGTGGCTAAAGCTCCGCTTCACACACGGAAGGCCCAGGTTTGACTCCCGGCTGGTGGAAACATTTCGACACGTTTCCTTACACCTGTTGTCCTGTTCACCTAGCAGCAAATGGGTACCTGGGTGTTAGTCAACTGGTGTGGGTTGCATCCTGGAGACAAGTTTGAGAACCTCAATGGAAATAAGTTAGACAGTCCTCGATGACGCACTGACTTTCTTGGGTTATCCTGGGTGGTTAACCCTCCAGGGTTAAAAACCCAAATGAAATCTTATCTTATCTTAAGTTAGGTTAAGGGCAATGCTTGCTGATAAATTTATTATAAATGGGAGAACACTGTGGCAATAGGAAAATATCATGGATTAGTGACTGGTGACTTGGGAAGGTCAGTGAGTCTTCTGGTATTGTCAGTCTTAATTACTACTAGAATATATTATCCACGTATAATATTACATCAGCAAATAATCCAGCAATGTAATTATATTAGTTTATGATAATGTACTGTATTATCATGTACTGTATATATTCTTTTTCCCTTGATACTAATATTTTATTTCTTGACTAAATACAGTATGTGTTTTTGTCAGTTTATTACATGACATTGAAATATTTATTTTTGTTAGATTATTATGCAACATTGAATGTATATCCATAACGGTTATGTATTTGGTCATAAATATTTATTCTCACAACAACATTTATGATAAATACCCTGGATGTTAATTATAAATACTGTAATATATTAAATATGTTTAGAGATTTTATCTTACACCCCAAAACAAGTCTCTACTAGACTTATCAAAACCATGTAGCATTACCTGATAGAATATTCAGTTCTCTTGTGCTCACTGTAACTCATCTAATGACCATATGAACTATGTATTATTGCCTTACTAATCTTAAGTTAATGGTCTGCATACAAAGGGGCTTTTGGCATGTACACCCAACTATTATATTCCTCTGTACAACCATGTAATTTGTCAAAATAAACAATCTTAAGTATAATAGATACACTGGACCTGATGCCATAGCTGTGTCATGACACACTATCCTCTAACCTGGGATGTCAGAAGATTGATCTTCCTGTGTTACTACTCAATGGACACACCACTGTTCGTTGATTGACATTGTTTAATTAACATAAAAGTACGTATATCATAATAGGAAGATAACATAAGACTGGGTAGGTAATTTTATGAGATACTATCACAGTAATAAAGAAATAAATACGTACATCTATATGGAACCTTTATTAACATTTCACTCGCGAAGCTCATTAAGTCACAAAAATCTGTTCATGACTTGATAAAACCTACTGTGAAAGTGAAATTTCATCAATGCATTTCTGTCTTTCATGGTTATTTTAAGCATAGTATTATAGACTTAAAGTGGTGATAAATATATAAGGCATAGCAACTGCTGGTATGTGTTATGCCAAATATAAATAAGATCAAAGCAACAATGCTAAGTACTACTAGTGCAGCATCATGTGCATTACTAGATATTTATTTCCTCTACACATGGTATTGTGACATTTTATTAGTTCTTCTATTTCTGCACTTTCATTAATTAACTATTTTATTAACTGTTTTAACTCTAACTTTTTTGGGTTATCCTAGGTAATTTACACTATGTATGATAATTGTACTTATGTATACCTGTGCCTACATAAACTTGTTTGCTTGCTTGCTTACTTACTAAACTTAGCTTTAAATTCCTTTGTTTTACTGGCCTTTTACATGAGTAGGTAGAGACACGATTAAGTAGACCACTCCAGTCTTTTATGTCACATTGTTTGACTTTATAATAATGTACTAATACACCTACCATCCGACTTACGACCTGCTCGACATACGACCACTCGACTTATGACCGCGTTTTTCATGCCAAATTTCTGGGAAATAAACAACTGTTTGTGTTGTACACAGTGTTTATCTTAAACCTTACAGTATAAAATACAGTACAAACAGCATTAAAACTAAAGTAAAAAATGAAATACCAAAATAAAACAATAAAATAAAGTCATTACAAAAATGTGATGTTGATATTCAGTAGTAAAGTTCGACTTACGTCCATTTTTACTTACGACCGGTTGGTCGGAACCAAGCTTGGTCGTAAGTCGGATGGTAGGTGTATAATATCTTTATTTCTGTAAGTACATGTACAAGGTATACAGGCCTAGCTGATATCAATGACATACTGCTACATAGAAAGCCCCTTGTGCAGAGCATTTTGGACAAATTAGGTCAATTTTGTCCCAGGATGTGACACACAACAGTCGACTAACACCCAGGTACCCATTTTACTGATGGGTGAACAGGGACAGCAGGTGTCTTATGAAAAAAGTCCTAATTTTTTCCAGCTGTACCAGGGGATTGATCCCTGGACCTCAGTGTGCGAGCTGAATGTTGTAGCGTTTGAGCTATGGGGCAGCTATTGGGTTATCCTGGGTTAATTTCTGCATAAGGCCTATATAACATTTGCTTAACAATTCACAGAAGATGAATGTTAAAATGGTATAAAATACCAACAGGTTGTTAGGTAAGACACATATGCAACAGTTAGGTATCTTTGTTTCGAAACGTTTCGCCTACACAGTGGGCTTCTTCAGTCGAGTACAGAAAAGTTGATAGAAGAGACATGAAGACGATGTAATCAATCCATCACCCTTGAAGTTTTGAGGTGGCCAGTCCATCACCCTTGAAGTTTTGAGGTGGCCAGTCCATCACCCTTGAAGTTTTGAGGTGGCCAGTCCATCACCCTTGAAGTTTTGAGGTGGTCAGTCCATAGTCTGAGACAATATTGTCTCAGACTATGGAACAATACTCTTCTCCAGACTGAGGGACTGACCACCTCAAAACTTCAAGGGTGATGGACTGATTACATCGTCTTTACGTCTCTTCTATCAACTTTTCTGTACTCAACTGAAGAAGCCAACTGTGTAGGCGAAATGTTTAGAAATAAAGATACCTAACTGTTGCATGTGTGTGTCTTACCTAACAATTCACAGAAGATGTTTGTAAATAACAACATTGTTAAAATTTTAACTTTTGTAAGAAACCTAAATAAAAGTTTGCAAGCAATATAGTGAAAGGTATATAGTGTGTAGCAGCATGTGTTGGGTAAGTTTAATCAGGTATACACAAATGCAGTTACATAGATTATCACACATAACAGCATAGTATATTCACTGCCGATGGTACACTGTTAACCCTTAAACGGTCCAAACGTATATATACGTTTTTTCAACATCAGAAAGTATGTAAAAAAATGAAGATTTTTTTTTTTTTTTTACCTTTGAAAACGTGTAAAAAAAGCTTTTATCTACATTTTTTTTGTTATATTTGAAAATATGTAAAAACAAAGTAGATCTACTTTTGTAGCACTACGAATTTGAACGTCCATTTGTTTGGACCATTTAAGGGTTAATTTTGATTCCTAATACTTTTGATTGGAGGGAAGATAATGGGGACACAGTTTGTTAGCAGTTTTGTGAACATGGTTTAGCTGGAACTGTTTCACTTGCCTGTGTTCCCTTGTCTTTATGTCAAGGATACAATATAATTCTTGTTTTGGATAGCTTAACAGTTTAGTTTTTTATTAGAGCAAAGTATAGTACAGTGATGAACAGGAGTAATATACGTACATTATTCCTGTTATTTCTCCTTTTATTGTAACTGATTTTTGCACAGTTGAGTTACTTAGTTGTATTAGCTTTTAAGGTTTAAATAATAAAATATTACAAGGATCCCAGTGGAAATAACTCGCTTAGACTTTTTTTTTTTTTTTTTTTTTCTCAACAAGTCGGCCGTCTCCCACCGAGGCAGGGTGACCCAAAAAAGAAAGAAAATCCCCAAAAAGAAAATACTTTCATCATCATTCAACACTTTCACCACACTCGCACATTATCACTGCTTTTGTAGAGATGCTCAGAATACAACAGCTTAGAAGCATATACGTATAAAGATACACAACATATCCCTCCAAACTGCCAATATCCCAAACCCCTCCTTTAAAGTGCAGGCACTGTACTTCCCATTTCCAGGACTCAAGTCCGACTATATGAACATAACCGGTTTCCCTGAATCCCTTCACTAAATATTACCCTGCTCACACTCCAACAGATCGTCAGGTCCCAAGTATCATTCGCCTC